CCTGGGCCACCAACTTGGTCTTTCATCCCCATGTCCCCAGTCCCCAGCCCAGAGCTCAGCGCATGTAGATTGAGTGACTGGAGGAATGAACCAGACTGGAGACCCGGGTGAAGGGGCGCGGAGACCATTTTTGTGGGAGACGAAGTGGGCGTGTCAAGTTCTCCTTAGGACACTCTCTGGTCCCAAACCCCCCCCTCAGCGTGTGATGGCTGCCTGAAGACCCAAGTCCAGACTCTTAGTCTGATGTTCAAGGGCATCGAAGACCCGACCCTGTCCCTTTGCTGTCACTTCTGCGACCACCCTGTGAACTTTCCAGTCCCGGGCACTTGCTCTGCTCTCCCCAGCTTCTGTCCCTTTCTCCCCAGGGTCCCTTCCACGCACCACACCTTTGCCGGGCCAGTGGGACCCTATCCGCCCCTCAGCAATCCACGGCGGTGCACCCTCCGCTGACAAGTGCCCCTTCGTCCTCAGCGGGGTGCATTAGTCCCAGCTCTGGGGTTGCGCAGAAATTTCTCTTCCTCCCCCCAAAGAAGCTGTCATCGCAGATCTGGGAGTGTTGACTGTGTTTGCCTCCTAGGCAGTGAAATCCTGGAGGTGAAATCCTGGCGGTGTAGCCAGTGTTGTGGATGCTGCTGGATCTGGCCAGGCTCGGGGCGGGGGGTGTGTGGGCACCAGCGAAGCTCTGGGAGAGGCAGGACATAGATCGTAGAGGAGATAGAGCCTCAGGCTGACCACAGGCAAGGGAAGGACAGACTGACCTCAAGAGCTGGGCGGGACCAGTAAGTTCACCGGACGCGGGACAACCCGCTTTTGCTCTGGGGTTCGCCATTCATCCCCACATGACCTCCTGGGTCAGCCTCAGCCCCACAGATCTGCTCATCTCTGGAGTGGTGTTTACCTCGCTAGGATGGGTTGCAGTGATGAAATAAGGCGCTCAGCGTTATTATTTACTTAGCGCTTGCTGTGACTTAGAAGCGTTCTATTGTTAACCGTCTTACAAACCATGCAGGGAGACTTCTCATTTTGTCGATGAAGAAGTCGAGGCGCAGAGAGGCCAAGATATCTCCCAAGGTTCACCTGAGGTTCCTGACACGTAGGAAGGGCTCAAGAAGGTGAGGTCGCTGCTGTTACAAACAGACACCTCACCGGGGGCTTTTCTTTGCAGAGTTTGTGAAGATGATGTCTCGCTGAGGAGGTTCCGGGAACCCCAGTCTCTCCCCACCTGGCGGATCAAGCGTTTGGGGAGGACTGAACCCCATAAAGGGGGGAGGGATGTGGGAACTGGAGTGAGGTGAGGCTGCCAGAGAGAGCTCTGCCCGATGGGGGTGGGGGAGGGGCACGGCAGCTCTAGAACGAGATTAAGGAGGAAGAATATACACATGGAAAAGGTGAATGGGACTGGGGTCCAGTTACTGCTCCAAAAATTCCAGACTCACAGCATCTTTTGATTCCATGGAATCCCAAATCCCCGTGACCCGTCCACCTCTTCCCCAGCTTCCTCTTGCGTTAAAATAGTCAATTCTGTTAGATTCAAAGAGTTCATCAGCCCCAGCTGGTGTGGCTCAGTGGGTTGAACAGCATCCTAGGATCTCACGGGTTCGATTCCCAGTCAGGGCACATGCATGAGTTGTGGGCCAGGTCCCCAGTAGGGGGCGCGTGAGAGGCAACCACACATGGATGGTTCTGTCCCTCCTATTCTCCCTCCCTTCTCTTTTCTCCAAAAATAAAGAAATAAAGAAATGAAAAAAAAAACCCAAAAACGTCCATCCCATCCCTGGGGTGGGGGGGCATCGGTCAGCTGGAGCCTCTTCCCGCACACACCTAAGTGTTGCAGGTTCAATCCCCATCAGGGCACATACCTCAACTCTGGGTTCCATCCCTGGTCAGGGGCACATGAGGGGGCGCTCACTGATGTTTCGCTCTCTCCCTCCCCTTCTCTCTCTATCTAAAATCAATAAACATATCCTCGGGTGAGGATTTTTTTTTTTAAAAGCCAAACATGTAATTCTACCTCCCCCCTTTCCACTCCACCTGCTTCAAAGCCCTCTCTCCATTTCTTTTTCCGGGCAGGAGGGAGGCACGTCAATCAGAGGGTGAGCCACAGGCTGCCCGGTAAGACTGGCACCAGGGCGAGCTTACTGCCCCCTCCTCCCTGATTTCCCAGAGGCTTGGTCTGCTCTTTCCCCTCTGGCTTCCTCCCCATAGAAGATACTCAGGCCACCGAATTAAACCACAAATCTGGATTATTGAGGTTTAGGACAAGCTGATCCCCAGGGAATTAATCCCCTGCAAAATGTCATCCTGCAAAGAGAGAGGGGATGGGAACCTTCAAATCCTCGGCTCAGCCAGGTTCCCTGAAACCCTTGCTGGAAGCCCCCCACGCTGTCTGCCTGGGCCACGGGGCAGGGCGGGGGATGGGGTGAGATTCATCCTGGTCCCTAGGAGTCAACTCCATCTCCGATGTCTGACACCAGACCTCGCTGCCCAACCAGAAGCCACCTTCCTCCTCACCTCTACCTGGGAGCAGGCTGCCTCGGTCATGCCAAGGTCCTCAAAACCAAGCGTTCGGTTCATGCCTCCCTCCCATGTTTTCTCACTTTTGCAATCCGTGAGGTAGATGTACGAGATGGCTCATCCGGTTCAATGGCCTTGTTTCATAGATGTACAGCTTCAGTTTAAAGAAGGTGGGATCAAAACAATGTGCGTCCGGGCCCCTTACTGGGGCCTCTCCTTATTGTCCCCTGCACCGTCCCTGAGTCCATTGCACTTCAAGCTTTCTACCTCCATCCCCACCCCCCTTCTCCCCTCCTCCCACACTTCATTCACTCCGCCGTGTTGTAGGAAGCGTTGCTCTGCACACGCTGTGAGGTTTCTCTCCCTCTTTCTCTCTCCCTTCCCCAAATAAATAAATAAATAAAATCTTTAAAAAAGAGAAGGAAAGAAGCCCAGATCAGGACGATACTATGAAGAAGATAAAATGGGGTGCTGAGGTACCAAGAGATTTGGGGGAAGAGCCCAGGGTGGTTGAATTAGCTGGAGTAAAAGGAGGAAGGAGCAGGCCGGAGGAAGAAAAGGGAGAGGGGGAAGCAGGGAGGAAGACCTCAGGAGGTTGCATCTGGGCTCAGAGTGAGCAGATTCTGTAATCAATTATTGATGTCTGCCATGGTCATGGGGAAGAAGTCACGGAGGCCCTCTTGCCAGGAGTCTTCTACCCTTTGTTCCTTGCTCATTTATTTATGGATGATTTCATAATCTCCTACACATGTTCCAGCCAAGTCTGTGATTTTTCCAGGATGAGAGAGCAGGTCGAACTTCCTTTCTGGGGCCCCGGGACTGCCCATCTGATCCGCCCACTGCGAGGCTCCTCAACTTGGTCACTGGCGTTTTCGTCCCCACGCACGCCCACCCCTCGCCGTCTCTGTCACTCCAGGAAGTCGAAGGGCAGCTCAAGTCAATTTGGGGCTCTTTTATTCATGGTCGGGCCACATGGTCCCTCTGTGTTTCACAAGTGACCACGTGCTTAAGCAAGATGTGGATGGGGTATCTCTAAAGGAAATCATCTAAGCTCAAAAGAGGCCATTAAAGAGACGAAGCTGGTGCCAGACTCCACGGGGCCGTCTTGCTCTGAAGACAGTTCTTATCTCCTTGAAAAGAAAATCAAAAGCTGGCAATGAGGCCACAGGTCTGCGTTGACTCAAAATGTGATATAAATTGTGTTGATCTTCAAGACTCTGTCAGAAGCAGCTCAGCTGAGATAAGGGTTTAGACACCACCTGCCTGTCACTGGACTCCTGGGAGCAAGTCAGCTAATGACCAGTGCGCCCCTCCACCTCTCCTTGGCCATCCTGGGTTTGGTGGGGGAGGGGTCTGCACGAGGAGACCACCGCTCTGACAGATGGAAGTTGGAGGATGGCCCCCAAAACGCTCTCAGTCCTAGACACCGACTGGGCACCACTGCGGGTGTTCATGAATGTCCGCCCTGCTCAGAATGCAGCCAGAGTTCCAAACCCATTTCCGTGCTGTCTGCTGTGCAGGGGAGAGGATGTTCACAGCCAAGCTGAAACTGAGGGAGGGCCACTAGTTTTGGCCTCATCCATAAGCCACATGCTTTATGGGAAGAAGGGGAAATATTGCCGGAGTTTTCCACCCTGGAAGGAGGGGTCAGTGGCGTTTTGTGCACATATCTGATGAAAGGGGTTCTCTTTATGTGGAAATGCCAGAATGACAGCCCTGGTTGGTGTAGCTCAGCAGACCAAGCACAGGCTGTGAACCAAAGGGTCGCCGGTTCAATTCCCAGTCAGGACTTGTGTCAAGGATACGGGCCAGGTCCCCAGTAGGGGGTGCATGAGAGGCAACCACACATCGATATTTCTTTCCCTCTCTCCCTCCCTTCTGCTCTGTCTAAAAATAAATAACTAAAATCTTTAAAAAGTGAATAAAATAAATGCCAGAATTACAGAAAGAAGGGAGGGTAGAGTCGGTCCTGTGGAGACCAGGTAACTTAATGCGCTGAAGTTGGGTGGGGCCCTCATGGCCTGGGGGAGAAGGGAACCCCTCCTTTTCTGTGGTTAGCTCCTCAGTGATGGGCACAATGGGCCAACCTCGTGGTGCTGCATGGCCTCTGGGACCAGAGAAGTCCCCAATATCCTCCCTTCAAGGTGGTCTTCCCATCTCATGCTCCAGGCTCGAAGCTCCCAGACCTAAAACTTGGAAGGATCCCCCTCTGGGTCTGAAAAGGTTCTCCCAGCTCCTCCCCCTGCTGTCCCAATTTCTCCCAGCCTTCCAATCTGGGAAGGTGTCCCAATCCTGCCCCCCTCCCACACACAAACACACGCCACCCTGTACCTCTGAGAAACGGAGTTCACCTTCATATCAATAGTGCCCCCCCCATGTGCTCCTTTCCCTCCCTTTTGCGCCAGCCACGCCCTCCCATTCCGTCCCTGCTCTGGCCTGGGCACATGCGCGCTGCACCCAAGCGGGACACCAGTCTTACCTTTGCATCAGCAATACACCCAGGTGCCGTCCTGGTCATGGTTGTAAGAGGTTGCACACCAGGAAAGGTTCTCCTTGGACCCTTTGCTAGTGCAGTTAAAATAATCCTTGTTCTGTAGCTGAATGGGAAGTGGCAGGGATAGCCGGGAACCTGGGAGGAAATTCCTTGGAAGAGGCAGACGAGGGAGGGTGGTTATCTCAGACCCGGCGAAGCTTTGGAAGTAGGGCCGTGTGGTCCGGGCACTGCCCCGGGACTCCCCGTTGGAGGCGGGGAATGCAGACCTGAACCTAAACATCGGAGGAATTATCTTCCTTCCGAAGCTCTTCGGGCCTAGAACTTGGCGAAGGGTGGGGGATGGTATTGGGGACCAAGGGCAGAGTGAAAAGCTCAAGGGCCTCTGGGGGGTCGTGGGGGGAAGAACCCGGGAGCAGCAGCGTGGAGGTGCACAGAGCATAAATTAGGGTGGACCCTCTTTAATCACAGATCCCCGATTTCTGAATTCGCCTACTCGCTGAAGTTTCTTTGCCCCAAGCCGATCGATCCTCATGGTAGGTCATTTGTGGACACGCAGCGCGGTGGACAATTTGAGTCCCCCACGCCCACACTCCTCGCTCCCACACTGGGAACAGGGTCCTGGTTGCGGCCCGTGTGGTCCTTCCCTTTCAGCATTTTTGTACTTTCTGTTGGTGATTTCACTGTTTTTAAACGGCCCCCACGCTCAGAGCTGGAGCGCTGACTCGAGTTCCCAGGCGCAAAGGGGGCTGTGCCGAGCCTCCCAGGGAAAACAGGCGCGTTGACGAATGAGCTTCCTTCGGGCGCGAATTATAGGCTAAGAAAAATGTTCCTTGAAATAGGGCTGCCCTGGCGGGGTGGCTTAGCTGATTGGAGCACCGTCTTGTACACCAACAAGGTTGTGGATTCGATCCCCGCTCGGGCACAGACGGGAGGCAACCAGTCGATGTTTCTGTCTGTCTCTCTCTCCCTTTCTCTCTCTAAAATCAATGAACATACCACATATCCTCAGGTGAGGATTTTTTTAAAAGTTAATTTGCAACAGGGCCAAAAAATTGCTGCATGACCTTTCCAGGTCCCTCTAGACCACTGGTCTGTTGGCCAAGCCAGGCCCCTGTGAGTCATCAGGCTCTTGGCTCGGTGTCAGCAGGCTTTCTGGAAAGGGCTGCCCGGTCGGGATTTTCAGCTTCGTGTGTCTTGCAGTGTCTGCCTCGATTTTTCACTCTGCCATCGACTGTTCAGAAATAAGTGGGCGTGGCTGGGTTCTAATAAAATTCTCTATAGATGGACCCTGAACTTCAAATTTCATGCCACTCTTGCCTGTCGCAGAACAAGATTCCTCTTGCTTTTTTTTTTTTTTAACCATATAAAAAAATGTAAAAACTACTTTTGATTGCGGACTAAACGAAAATGAGCGCTGGTCCGGATCCGGCCCGTAGGCAGGTGGCGTTTGCAGACGCCTGCTCTAGGGAAGGACTTGGTCCGAACCCCTGTCCGCTATGACTGGGGGCTCCGACGCTGTAACTTGCAGAAGATTAACACCCTGCGAATCATTTTTGTTCCACAGCGATGCCGATAATTTCTGTCTGATGGACGAGATAGCCCCAGAGATTTGATAGCCCTTTAGATATTAACAGATTTTGTATTCTAATAGAGCAACCTTGCTTCCGCTCAGCATTCTTTTCTTCACTGGCTAGATGTATTTCTCCGAGCACCCTTCGAACAGGCTTTCTCCCCCTTTCAGTTTCCTTATGAATAGACTTTTTTTTTTTCCAAATGTTATTTATTTATTTTTAGAGAGAGAGAAAGGGAGGGAGAAGCAGGGGGAGAGAAATACCAATGTGTGGTGGCTCTCGGACCCCCCCTACTGGGGACCTGGCCCACAACCCAGGCTTGCGCCCTCACTGAGAAGCTAACCAGCGACCCTTTGGTTTGCAGGCTAGTGCTCAATCCACTGAGCCACACCAGACAGGGCAAGATGAGCTCATTATTTTTTACAGCAACAAAAGGGGGGTTATGTAGTATGTAACACCGTTATAAATTCTGCTTGGGTTTAAAACTTAGTTTTCTAAGACTCTGGCAGTACCATTTTGTTTTGCTTTTGCTTTGGACTGCAGAACCACCCAACACAGAATCTCAGGTCCCACTGCCCCCCCCCCCCCCCCCCCCCCCGCCCTCCAGACCTAATGGAAGAGATCACACCTCACCACATCCCCAGGTGATTCCTGGGCACTTTAACGTTAGGAAAGCATTAATCAAACACAGCTTGACCACTGTGCACTGACCTTGGTCTTGGACTGGAAGACAGACTTGGGGAAGAGTTGGATGGGGACGTGGGAGGTGATGAGGCGTGGGCCTTCCTTGTCCTTTAGGGCTTTGTATCCATGTGTGGTCTCTAACCAGGGTGAACGTTCCCAGATGGGCACAGATTGGATCCATGTGGGATTCCCCCTGGAGTGAATCAGGCAGAGAATTTCGATCAACCAGTTTGTTCCTAAATAAAGAAGAAAGAATGGTCATTCATTTTTTGAATCTGACTTTTATTTTATTTTTTAAATATTTTATTGATTCATTTTTAGAGAGAGGGGAATGGAGATAGAAACAGAGGAAGAGAAACATCAGGGTGTGGTTGCCTCTCAAGCGCCTTCTACTGGGAACCTGGCCCGCAACCCAGGCACGTGCCCTGACTGGGACTCCAACTGATGACCCTTTGGTTCACAGCCTGCGCTCAATCCACTGAGGTGCACCAGCCAGAGCTAATCTGACTTTTAAAAAATGTCACGATAGAATGTAACATAAACTGTGCCTCCTTAACCATTTTTGAGGATTCAGTCCAATGCTATTGAGTATATTCCCACCAGTGCACAACCAATCTCCAGAAACTTTACATTTGGTAAAACTGAAACCTTTTACCCATTAAACAACTCTCCATTCTCCCCTCCCCTCCGTCCTTGGCAGCCCCCACCCTCTTTCTGTCTTAGCATTTGGTTACTCTCTGCAGCTCATGGAAGTAGATCAGGTGGTATTTCCCCTTCTGTGACAGGTGTCTGTCATTTAGTGTAACGTCCTCAGAGTCCCCCCATGTCTTAGGCTGAGTCAGAACTTTCGTTTCTTTTTCAGGCTGAAAAAGATTTTATTGTGTATATACAACATGTTTTGGTCATCTGTTCACCCGTCAATGGACATCTGGGTTGCTTCCACCTTTTGGCTGCTTGCCTAAATTAATCGCCCTTGACTTTCCACTGTGGTGCCTCTGCCAGCATCTCCAGCTTCAGTCCGTGCTCATCTTGTAGTTTTTTATGCTTTTCATTCTCCTCCTAGAGATGCGATTCCCACACTGTCAGTTCCTCGACTTGGCCAGGCTTGTTTTCAATTCCTGCCCATCGTCCACGCTGATACCGTTACTGAAAATATCCCTTTTCATGAAATAGTTTCACATTCACTTTTTTTTCATATTGATTTAGATGCTTTTTAAAAATCTACTCCTTATTTTTTGGCTCTGGTAGAGGTGTCTTTTTCACCCCTTCCTTTCAGGTTCATTCAGATATACCCGACCGATGAAAATGGTGTACATTTAAAGGGTGCAATGTGACAATTTTGTATCTATCTATCTATCTATCTATCTATCTATCTATCTATCTATCTATCTATCTATCTATCTACCTATATACACAAACATTGTGAAACGATTACCACAATGAAGCCAATTAAAAGACCCATCATCTCACATAATTACTTCCTTTTCTTTTGTTTCTGTGAGGACTTTGCTGGCCATTGCCCTCCGCTTCTCCACAAAAGCCCCTGAGTCGGGGATTTGCCTGTATGGGTTCCCTAACACCTTTCATTACCTGCTCTGCACACTCCTCTAACTGTGTAACTGCCTGGTTTGCTCCGTTTCGCTCAGTGCGATTGGTATTAGGGCCCAGCTTTTGTCCCCCCAGCCCTGAACCTGGGGGGACAGAAAGAAAGCACTGGTGAATAGATGAAGGATGTAGCCACAGTCTGTCTTGGCACCTCACCTGCCCCCTTACCTGATTTGGGGAATGACAGCGTTAAGACGTCTTCATCCTTAAACACAAAATTCTGCATTGCTCTCAGGTGCTCCAGTGTGTAACCTGGAGCGACAGGGAAAGGGATCCCTTCAAACCACATGTACCCATCTGACATCACAGCGAGCTCTTTGAACCTGGTGTTAAGAGTTCCAGATGCAGGCACCATGAGAGCCTGTGGCAGCTGCCAAGAAATCACCTTTTATAGGGAAGATAAAATAATCATTAATCTCCCTGGGTTTGTTGAGGAGTTGTCTGTTGATAAAGAGAAGCGGACATTGTAACTGAGAGGTGGTCACAAGGTTGATGAGATTGAGCAAGTGCGAAGAGAACATTATGAGGTAATCCGACTTTGAATTCATGAGATGGAACCAGGAATTCAACAAGCCCAAGGATGTAGAAATGTGGGCGAATTAAAACTATTTTTAATGGAATTTAGTTTTAGAACAGTTTTATTTATTTTTTAAATTTTTTATTTATTTTTAGAGAGGGGAAGAAAAAGAGAAACAGAGGGAGAGAAACATCCATTTGTGGTTGCCTCTCGCACGCCTCCTACTGGGGACCTGGCGCACAACCCAGGCATGTGCCCTAATCTGGGAATTGAACTGGTGACCCTTTGGCTCTCAGGTCTGCACTCAGTTCACTGAGCCACACCAGCCAGAGCAGAACAGTTTTAGATATACAGGAAAGTTGCAAAGATAGAATAGAGAATCCTCATACTGTTAGGCGCGGAATTAGATAAAAGTAGCCAAAAGGAACCCGAGACAGGCTCCAGACTGTCTCAGCAAGGAAGATAGAAAGTACAGAAAGTACAAAGAGTGCTGAACAAGATAAACCGCCTTGTGCATGACCTTGTCTTTGCAGAAAAATATCCATTGTTGCAAGCAGAGAACATAGCCATGTGTGTTCTCTCGAGATAGCCAATCGCTAACAGCTACGTCTGCTTCTGTATTCGCTTGCTTCCTCACCCCAATAAAAACCCTAGGCTGTAAGCGCCAGGCGCAACTCTCATTTGCAGCCATTTTGGCACCGTGTCTCCGGATACCTTGACAGTTCCCCCCTGCGCAGGTAAAACTTTGGCCAATAAAGTTCCATCTTAAACTCCTGAAAGTTTCCGACCATTTGTTGCTCGCATTGGTGGATGCTACAATACCTTATACTTTACTCAGAATTCCCTAGCTTATACCTAATGTCATTTTTCTATCCCGGGACACAACATTATTTCAAGTTACTTATTGTGTCTCTTCAGCTTCCTCTTGGCCTCTGAGGAAGAAAAACAAGAAAATAGACAATATCTCACAGTGTATTAACTTCCGTGAAGGCGAAGGTTAAGGGACCTATAAAAACACACAAAGGAAGAGCTCACTAAGGTTTAGGAGATGAGTGAAGTTGCAAGAGGAGGTGATATTTACTTACTTAAAACCTGACCAAAGGACATGTTTTATTGATGTGGAGGGAGAGAGAGAGAGATAAACATCGATGTGAGAGAGGATGATCAACTCATTGCCTTCCCTATACACCCTGACTAGGGATGGAACCCACATCCTTAAGGAAGAAAATTCAACAAAATCGGGAAAACAACATCTGAATAAAACTAGAAGTTTCACAAAGAGCTAGAAATCAGGAAGAAGAACCAAACAGAAGTTCGGTAGCTGAAGAAGAACACAGCGGATGAAATGATAGACAAAAATGCAATAGAGAGCATCGACATCAAAAAGGATCAAGCAGAAGAGAGAACCCATGAGTTAGCAGATAGGAACTGCAAGATTATCCAGTCAGAGGAGAACAAAGATAAAAAGGGTGACAATAAAGAAAGCCTACATCCTGTATGGGTCACCATAATAAGAGACAATTTGCCAATTATTGGAATCTCAGAAGGAGAAGAGAGAGAAGTCAGGAAGTGTATTTTAAAAAACAGTGGCTGAGAACATCCCAAATCTGGTGAGAGATTTGGATATCCGACTTCATGACATGTATAGTGGCCCCCATCTACTTAGAGCGATCTCTCAGACACAGTATAATAACACTTTGAAAAAGCAAAGACAAAGGGATCATTTTAAAAGCACCAAGTAGCCCTGGCTGGGTGGCTAAAATGGTTGGAGCATCGTCCTGTCCAGGTTTGATCCCTGGTCAGGGCACATTCCAAGGTTTTGGGTTTGATTCCTGATTGGGGCGTGTACAGGAGGCAACCCACAACCTATGTTCTCTCTCTGTATCTGTCTGTCTATCTCTTTCTCTTCCTTCTTTCTCTCTTTTTAAAATCAGTATATATGTCCTCAGTTGAGAATTAAAAAATAAAAGTAGTAAAAAGTAAAAGCATCAAGGCAAACAAAGCTTGTCAGTTACAAGGGGACCCCCACAAGGCTACCAGTGGGTTTCTCTGGAGAAACCTCCCAGGCCCAGAGAGGGTGGGATGGTACTTTCCAACTGATAAATGAAATAAACCGCAGGTTTTGGGGACTGGGCTGAAAGGGTTTTCATATCTGCCACGTTGAAAGCCCATGATGGCAATTGTTATTTCCACTAAGAATTCTCTATCGGGTAAAGCTATTCTTTCAGAAGTAAAGGACAGTTAGAGAGTTTCCCAGACAAGTAAAAGTTGGAGTTTACCCCCAGTAAACCTGCCACCCAAGAACTACTGGATGCTGTTCAAGCTGAAACAAAAGGATGCCAACCAGTAACATAAACACATGAGACCCATCGGTAAAGGTAAGTGTGTTTTTAGAACATGCTGATACTGTCACATGGTGTTGTGTCATACATTTACTTTTGGTTTAAAGATTAAAGGGCAATAGGTTGTGGAAAAGCTGGCCTTTCAATTAGTGAACCTAATACTTCTTCCTGTGGCCATTCCCTGGGCAGCTTTTATGGGCAAGGTATTAAAATTTCAGTCCCTTTGTGATGAGTACCCCGATTTCTATTATCAGTCCATGGGATTTGAGGGATTTGCCCAGGTCCAAGTCTCTCTCCTTTTCTCATCTCTGAGAGAGGGTTATCCTGAATTACTCAGATGGGACCTAACTGCAAGAGACAGAAGAGGAGCCCTGGCTGGTGTGGCTCAATGGATTGAGCACCAGCCTGCAAACCAAAGGGTCACCGGTTCAATTCCCAGTCCAGGCACATGCCTCGGTGTCATTTAAGGTCCCCTGATTTGGGCAGGTGAGAGGCAACCTATTGCTATATCCCTTGCACATCAGTGTTTCTCTCCTCTTTCTCTCTTTCTTCCTCCTTCTAAAAGTAAATAAATGAAATCTTTTTTAAAAAGAGAAAGACAGAAGAGAAAAGGACACAGACACACAGAGGAGAAGGCACACATGTGGAGACAGAGGCAGGAGTGGGAGCTGTGCAGCCACAAGCCAAGGAGTGCCTGCAGCCACCAGAAGCTAAAAGAGACACGAACAGACACTCCCCTCGGGCCTTCAGAAGAAGCACACACATGCATTCAGCTTGATTTGGACGTCGGGCCCCCACAACTGTAAGAGAATAAACTTCTCTTGGTTAACCCCCCCAACTTTGGGACGATTTGTTTCAGCAGCCTTGGACACAGATGCACTGCACTTTGAGCCCACACCACATGGCTCCCTCCAGAGCTGCAGGTGTCTTCCTTGCCCTTCAATGCCCACCAGTTCCTTCCTGCAAAGCCGAAGCTGACACCACTCAGAATCTCACACGACTTTGGGGGAGGTCTGGTTGTGTAGGCTGTTTAAGGGGCGAGGAAGGAAGGGCAGCCTCCAGAAACAGCACATTCTCAATGCAGAATTCAGAGCTTCCATTCTGTACAGTCCTCTCATCGCACATACGAAACTCACACACCGTTAACCTAGAAAGAAATGGCTTTCAAACTGGGAGGCAACAAGCATTGATTTGAGAGCAGACAAACAAAAAGGAGGAATAGCTACTGGGGAAGCTCTGATCCAGGCAGAAGCAAAAAAAGTGTTCTGAATAGGAGACAAAAGGCCATGGAGTATCTTCTGGCATCGATAAACTTAACATAGAGATGTTAATTCTTTTCTTTTTAAAGATTTTATTTATTTATTTTTAGACATAGGGGAAAGGAGGGAGAAAGACAGGGAGAGAAACACCAATGTGTTTTGCTTCTCATGCGCCCCCTACTGGGGACCCTGCCCACAACCCACGCATGTGCTCTGACTGGGAATCCAACCAAGGACTGAACCAGTAATCCATTGAGCCACACCAGCCAGGACATATTGATCTTAATTCTAAACCATGTTTTTAAATATTCAGCCCAGTAGTCATCAGTCCAGGAGTCATAATATCTACTTTCCTGTTACCTTTCCAAAGAACCATTTGCTTCAGGCCCTGTTCTAGGTCACTTTGCTCAGTTTTAACATCCAGAGGTATGAGGCCCAGGGACATGCAAGGCAGTTACTCCCCTGGGGAGGCTGCTCTGGCTCCACGTTAAAGTGACTCCACTCGTATTGATTTTTACAACACAAAACTTGTGTTGAATCTGAAAAAAATCCAGATATTTTTACTCCAAGAGCCCCACCCCAGCACCTGCAGGACCTGCAGACATTTTGGTCAGGGAGGCCGAGTGCGTGCAAACTTCAGAGCAGGGAGCCAGTGGAGCAGAGACCAGGCCCGAGGCTGCTGTCTGCCCCCAGGGTGCTGGGATGGGCCATTCAATGGTCCGTGCAGACAGAGCCCTAGTTCTGCTTTGAACAGAATGTTTAGTTCTCTGAGAACTGGAATGAGGCATCAGACTCTGCTTCCTTTCTCATGGAGTGAAGGGATGTTCGTAAGAGCTCTTATCAACACGCAGAGTCGCATAAATGCTTTTTATAAAGATTTTCTTTATTTGCTTTTAAAGAAAGGGAAGAAAAGGAGAGAGAAAAACATCCATGTGCAAGAGATCTATTAATCAGGTGCCTCTTGCGCGCCCCCTGCTGGGGACCTGGCTGGGAACACAGGCACCTGCACTGACTAGAAATCAAATTAGCAACCTTTCCTTAGCAGGCTGGCGCTCAGTCCACTGAGCCACAGCAGCCAGGGCTACATTGTACTTTCATTAAAAATGTTTAAGAATTATACATATGAGGACAAGCTTGAGTTTCTCTGAGAATTTCGTTGACTAGACAAAGACACTATACAGGGTCCAGCACAAATAATGCCCCTTGTTTATTACAAAATCTTTTATTACAAAATCATAAGCATGTAATTCTGTAACAATAATACTATACTCAAGCAGATCGCATGAATGTTCAAAGGAAATCTATAAATTATTACACCCATTTTACTACCCTACCAACCACACTGGCACAGGCGTTACTTCTGCTGGACCCAGTACAATGGTAGCAATTCACCAGGACTTTGATCTGAATGCAAGTTCTTGCCCACAAAGGCCCTGCTGTGTCCCCACCATGTCCAGTGCTGCATTGGTCACCACGGAGTTTTGCCTGTGCCTTGTTCCAAGAAAAGATGTCACCCAAGTGAGAAGAGAGCACTTCTTCACGGGTCAGAGTGCTGACAGGAAGGGCTTTATTTTGAGAGGCGGCTGATGAGCCCTGTAACTTCTGTCCCTTTGTGAACACCAAGACTCATCTACAAACTGTGGAAAGAAACACAGGCATGAGGGTCGGTGTCAGTCATTCAGCCTCCAGGACAAGCCGCTCTCCTGAACCCAGGCATGTGCCCTGACTGGTAATCGAACTGGCAACCCTTTGGTTCACAGGCCAGCGCTCAATCCACTGATTCACACCAGCCAGGGCAAAGTATGCTTTCACAGGGGAATAGTGTATTCATATTTTGAAATTTGGTGAAAGCGTAAAGAAAGAAGTGGCATATTTGTGCATTCACATGGAAAACTTTCCATGATGAACATCAAGACACATGAGAGCCCTGGCGGGTTTGGCTCAATGGGATGAGTGACGTCTCACAAACTAAAAACTCACCGGTTCAATTTCCAGACAGGGCACATGCCTGGGTTGCGTGCTGAGTCCCCAGTTGGGGGCATGCATGCAAGAGGCAACCAACAGATGTTTCTCTCTCATGCTGATGTTTTTCTCTCTCTCTCACCCCCTTCCTCTCTCCTTAAAATCAACAAACCTACCAAAATAGTTTTCAAAAATCCCTCTGAAAGTCTTCTCTACAAAGTAGAATTTCAACATTGTGGATGATGTAATTCATGGAACTGAACATGGACTTATATTTACTTGGCTGCTAGAAAGCTCAGTTCCAATTGTACAGTCTTACCCCGTACAACATATGCACTGCTAAATTGACCTCTTGCTACATCACGCTGAATTTTCTAGATATTTAATCTTGTCTATGTATTATTGTTAGCTAGTCATTTTCATCAGCTGTCTTAAACTTTCTGGGCCAAAGCAGTAAAAAAAAAGAAAAGGAAGGAAGGAAGGAAAGAAAGAAAGAAAGAAAGAAAGAAAGAAAGAAAGAAAGAAAGAAAGAAGAGACAAAGAAGTAAGGAAGGATGGAGGAAAGAGGGAGGAAGGAGGGAGGAAAGAAGTGAAGGAGAGGTGGTATGTCTACTGCTGAGAACCCACCGGGTGGCATGGGGTCAAGGATTGGTACTCACAAAAACCCTGCCAGTAATTCAATCATAGAGATGGGGAAACACTCCAATGTCTCTTGCTCAGTTCTTTCCTCCTTCCCGCATCTTATTTTCCAAGGAAACTAAACTGACTTCTTTTTTTTTTAATGTTTTTATTTATTTATCTTTAGAGGGGAAGGGAAGGAGAGAGGGAGAGAAACATCAATGTATGGTTGCCGCTCATGCGTCCCCTGCTGGGAATTGGCCTGCAGGGAACTGGTCTGCAACCCAGGCATGTGCCCTGACTGGGAATCAAACCGAGATTGTCTGGTTCGCAGGCCCGTGCTCAATCCACTGAGCTACACCAGCCAGGGCTTAAACTGACTTCTTCATGGACATGAGGTTAAGGACAGATCACTCAAGCCAGATTTTCTCATATTTTAATGGCTGACAGAACCAAAAATCAAAAGACACGAAATATTCCGTGATACCTGAAATTTGAAATGATGAGATTTCAAATTTCTATATCGTTCTATACATAAAGGTCTATTGGAATACAGTCACATTAATTTGTGGGCTTTTCTTTTAAATTGCTGTGGCTGCTTTAATTGCTGAGACCCTTTGGTCTTCAAAGCCTAAAATACTTAATATTCAACTCCTTAAAATTTTTTTATTAAGATTTTATTTATTTATCTTTAGAAAGGAAGAAGAGAGGGAGAGAAATATCAATGTATAGTTGCCTCTTTGTGTCCCCTGTGGGGAACTGGCTTGCAAGCCAGGTATGTGCCCTGCCTGGGAACTGAACCATGATCTTTTGGTTCGCAAGCCTGTGCTCAATCCACTGAGCTACACCAGCCAGGGCCACTACTGAACTCTTTACAGGAAACGCTTGCTGACCCCTGATCTAATTGACCCATCACCAGATATCTAGACCCCAACTTCCCTTTGCATTGATCCAGAGGGTACCCTATTTTAAGAGATCTCTAAGACTCACCCCCCACCCTGGCCCCCTTCAACGCTCTCCTTACCCAGCCAGCTTACTTGTGAGGAGAGCATGGCTTCCATTTTCTGTCTGCATCGTAATTGCTGGTCAGTGAGCACCAACTGCGGTTAAAAAGATAGTGCTCCTTCGTGCACTTCTGAAACCTTCTCCCTCTGAAGGTGAAAGGGAAGGTGCACTTGGGGGGATCTGCAGAGACAGGGAGGAGCAGAGAGAGAAAAGTGAGCGGAGAAACGTGGACGTCCCCTGGCTGAGCCCTGGGAGGCTAACAACTTTTTTCACTGAAAGTGCCTTCTCGTCTTCACGGAACTATTTTCAAAGCGGTTACAACGAGCAGAAGAGTCAGGACTCGGACTCGGGTGTGTCTGGTCCCTCAGATCTTGCAGGCTGCTGCTGGCAACTGCTCCTTTATCCAGACCTGCTGGCTGCAGGGGGCGCTCATGCTGCCCCATGCAGTACCACCACCAGCCACAGGGAGCGCTCACCCTCCCCCGTGAAGTACCACCACCTGCAGCAGGGGCCCTCACCGTTCCTTGTGCAGTACCGCCACCGGCCTCGAAACTCTGAGTCCAGGGAACACCAGGCATAGTCGCTGTGGATGGAGGTGCACCTGTAGTAGATCGCCTCCTGGTACATAAATGGGAAGACACAGGGAGTGGAAAGGAATTCTGGAAAAGAGAACACACGCCGCGTGGGGGCAAGCTGAGGAAGGAAATTGGCGTTCTTCTTCTTTGTTTTTAATCCCCACTCAAGAGCATTTTTCTTTGCTTTAGGAGATGGGGGTAGAGAGAGACACACACATACCAATTAGAGAAAGAAACATGACTGGGTTTCTTCTTCTACACGTCTGGGTGGGTGATCAGGCACACACCCTCAACATGTTTCATAACCCGGAATCGAACCTGCAACCCCTTCATCCATGAAACGGCTCTCCAAACAACTGAGCCACACTGGCCAGGGTGACGTAGCTTCCAACTTCCACTGTGATTAATGATGATCAGCAACAGGCTTGCTAACCCACTGCCCCCCAAATCCACATGCGGCTGGTTTCGCTGACTGCCTTCCTGTGTGAGGCACTGACTCGAAGAACATCAAAGGAAAACTGATTTCACCCCAGACCTGCGGGCTGACTGGAGTAGGCAGCTTCCTTCCCTTGTGAACCCTCGAGACCGCACACCCAGTCTCCTCACCCGAAACTCCAGTCTTCCATATCGTCCTCCTTCTCCCTGTCTTCTAGAAAAACCAATATCTAGCCTTCCGAAGGGGGCCCCCAGTATCTCTCCACTCCACTGGTCCCCAGTGGGCACCGTGCCAGGCCTCGACCAGAGCCATAATGTTTCTGGATGCTTCCAACCCTTTGTCACATCATTCTTTACTGGCAGGGAGAATGGTCTTTCCTTTCTCCTTTTTTAATCCTCACCCAAAAATATGGTTTTTTATTGCTTTTAGAGGAAAAGGAAGGGGGGACATCAGTGTGAGAGAGAAAAATCAATTGGTTGCCTCCCGAATGCACCCCAACTGGGGATTAAACCCACAACCTAGGTATGGGTTCTGACCAGGAATCGAACCTGCAACTTTTTGGTGCACAGGACGTGCTCCAGCCAGAGAAGGATGTTTTCTTTTAGATACCAACCTGACCCTGCCACTGACCCACTGTTCTCAGGACAACAAATAGCATTAAGATGGCTATGGTGCCCTGCTTCCTCTGGCTCCCCCAAACACCTCACCGGGGAGCACCTTCTCCTGGTGTTCTCTCTGCTCAGGCCTCGGAGGGTCCCAACCATGCAGCCATAATTCTGGCCTTGTCCTGCAGGCATGATCTTCTCTGCTTGGCAGAGCAACATCCTCTCCTGGCAGCCCCCGTCTGTTCAGCTCCTCTCCTGTTCTGCCCTCATGTTCATGGAACTTTCTTGCACACTGTGACCATGCCCGATCCATCCGTGCCCAGCTGCCTGACGAGTTCCCTTTCCTTCCACTTACTGAATGTGTGAGGACCTGTTCAGAGTTTTTGTGCTATGTTGGAAATGACCACAGGCATCCCATTCAAAGAGAAACCCATGGTGATGGCTGGTGGGAGCCCGTATAGAAACAGAAGCTTAATAAACATTGGTTGGTTTCTCATAAGCTTGAAATCATCTTGATAGAACATTCATTTATTATTATTATTATTTAGAAACTTTTATGACTTACCAATCTACATGATCTACTTTTATTATGGACTGGTAATGGTATAATTTTTAATGATTATGTCAGAACTTTTCTTATTTTCTTATTTAAGTATATTGTTAGAATATCTATCATTTAATATTTTGAATAATTATTTAACCATTTCATGAGCATTAGTTATTGCTGTGTTCATTATTAATTAGCTATGACTTATTCATATAAGAAGCTACCACATAGCTTAGTCTGTGCTGGGCAAGCTGGGCACCATTTACAAACACCAGCACATCGAAGGAGTCCTTATGTCAGTCCCGGGACTTGGGTCCAGTCACTGGGCTCCTCCCAGGGCTGACTTTGGTCCCCAGCATGTGATCCTTCAACACCGAGAAGCCCCGATGTTCGCTACTCAGTAAATAGCATCCTTCTGACTCCAAAAGCAAGAGAGATGATAAATCACATTCTCCACCATAAACTCCAGACGATGTTGGCCCAACTCCAAACAAGCCACTGATGATGGAAATAGCTTTAAAAACCAGTCACCATATATTTTTTAAAAGATCCAGGCCTATTTCTGGCACTTTCTACATGATATTCTGGGTTTTTTAAAAGTTTTTATTTATTTATTTTTAGAGCAAGAGGAAGGAAGTGAGGGAGAAAGAGAGGGCGAGAACACTGACCCGAAACCCAGGCACCTGCTCTGACTGGGAATCAAACCTGCCACCTGTCAGTTCACAGGCTGGCGATCAATCCACTGAGCCACACCAGTCAGGACCAATCGACACACCTATGTAACCAAAATTTCACTTTCGCTGATTGGACTGTAGCCACCATAATGTGTTCCCACATCTTTATTTCTTCCTTAAAGTGCCCAAAGCCAGGAGAGCTGAACGGGTTAAAACTGAGCACTGGTGGTCAACCTGCACGTATGGTTCATCTCCCAGGAACAGAGATGCGGAGACACAGTCATCTGTGGTGAACCCACATGAGCTCCGTGATCAACGTTTCCACTTGGAAAACAGACACCAGAGATCGCACGTATCTGAAGTGCCCAGAAAAGACCAACCCGAAGAAAGAGCTGGTAAACTAGTGGCTGCGTGGGGGTAGGGGTGACGGCAGATGAACGCAATGGGGTCTTTCTGGGGTTAAGCAAATGTCCTAGAATTGGACTGAGCTGATGTCTACACCATTCTGAAAATTTACTAAAATGTCAGATAATGGTACATTTAAAATGGATGGATTTTATGGTGTGTAGGTTAGACCTCCCCAGAGAAGGCATTTAAGAGAAACAACCAAATGAACGACAAGAGCCCCAGAGGCTGATGATGTTAGTTCTGTAGGAGAAGAGGGTTCTTTTCTGAAGGGGCAGGGGAGGAAATCGGGGGGTGGGGGGCTGGCTGGAATGGATATTGAAATACGGGATCTGGCTGCCTGGACCAGGAAGGGGCCTTTCGTGCCAGGAGAAAAGCAAAGGAAAGAGTAAAACAGCAAAAAAAAATGCAAGGATCTTTCAGAAATACAATATTGTTTCATTAATAGGGGCTTAGGTTTGAAATACTGACAAATGAGGAAATAGCCCTGGCTGGCATGGCTCAGTGGATCAAGTGCTGGCCTGCAAACCAAAAGGCCACCGGTTTGATTCCCAGTCAGGGCACATGCCTGGGATGCAGGCCTGGTCCCCAATAGAAGGTGCGTGCTAGGCAACCATACATCAGTGTTTTTCTCACTTTCTCTCTTTCTTCCCATCTCTAAAAATAAATAAATAAATACAATTTTTTTAAAAGAGAGAAAGATTTAGGCAGAAGATATTTTTCATGCTGATTCTAAGTCCAAAAAAGAAAAGAAAAGAAATATATTCCTACCTGGAATTGGAGGTTGTGAACGGTCAAGAAATTCTGAAAGAGAATAGAAAATTAGTAAAATTAGACCACTTCCAAGAATACTCCATTCCTAGGTGAATGGCAGTTAAAAAGTGCCTTGAAGTTTGTGTAGCCAACCACTCTCCTTTTGCAGAAAAACTTCTGCTAGCACATTTTGGATGCCTTATCATTGCTTTTAAGTGGTGAAGGAGTGGGGGGTCTCACATCCACCCACCACACAGCCCATTAACTCAGTATGAGCTCCGACTCACCCAAGGGTCTTTCTCTGAGTAAGCTAGAGTAAACCCAATGTCACGCAACTTCCCCCGGGTAGTTGAAATGCCACAAGTCCAAACGGTATAGGGACCCTCCTAGCTTTTGCCCACGTCTCAACAGTTCAGGAAGACACCTATTTGTTCAGTGTGAGAGCACTGAATAGTCCCGGCAGCCTTGGTGATTCTGTTCTGTTGTGCTTCCTAGAAAATGTCGCTTTTTTATCACCCGAAGGTATGTTTCAGGGAGTGTGCATCTTGGTAGCATCACCACCCTACAGCCAGGTTAGACCCAGATAAAGACTGGAAAGCAAACTTGAAGACCTGTCACCTGATACCACTGGCTCATCTTTCATTGGCTACATCTGCCATTCAATACCATTAGCTCTTCTTCCATTGGCTAGATCTGCCATCCAAAACCATTAGCTCAACTCTCATTGGCCATTCCTCTGTTCCAGTCTCTGTCCTCCATGGACCTTCACTACAGCGCTATAAAGGAGAGATTATAATTAAGGGCTCTCTTCTCCTTCCATCCCTCAAAGATTCATAGTCGAGAGATCACAGGCAAGCGAGGGCGAACGGAAGTGATGTGACCCATGACAGGTGAGAACGAGGTTTGTACTCTAGAAGTCCGACTTCTGAGACTCTGATCGGAACACAACATTGATGTAACCTTGGAACTGCCCCACACTGGGGTGAGTGACTGAAAGCACTCGTCTCACTTTATTGTGGACATAACATTAATGTAGAGTTTGTGTCCCACTCCAACTGGGAGCTACTATGTGATGAGTGCAGCACTGTGTTAGCTGATGGTCGTCCTACTCTTGAGAAAGTAGCTAACAAGATGTCAACATTTATAAGAATATTTAGGGAAGGAAGGGAGAAAGAGAGGGGAACAACATCAATGTGTGGTTGACTCTTGCATTCCCCCTACTGGGGATCTGGCTTACAACCCAGGCATGTGCCATAACCGGGAATCAAACTGGCGACCCTTTGGTTTGCAAGCCAGCACTCAATCCACTGAGCTACACCAGCCAGAGAAGATGTCAACATTTAAGAAAAAAAAATTTTTCTAGCCTTGGATGCCTAGTTCAGTTGGTTAAAGCTCCACCTCAGTAGGTGATGGGAGGGGTTGAGGGTTTGATCCCCAGTAGGGGCACAAACAAGAATCATCCAGTGAATGCAGAAATAAGTGGAACAGGAAGTCATTTCTCTCACGCTCACTGTCTCTCTCTCTCCATTTTCCTCTTTCTCTAAAATCAATACATTTTTTTAAAAGAAAAGAAGTAGTTCAGTTCTTCTGGCCTCAGAAACTGAGCCTCTAAAATATCCCCGCCTTTGTGGGGAGAGGGGCCCACTGTTTCTGACCAAGGCTTG